ACAGTGAGAGAAAATAATGGGATTACTTCAACCCCCAGGGTATAGAAGGCATTCTCATTTCTTACCGAGATATTGCTCGCTTTGTGTCACGCTGCCCTCACATTGAGAGGAAGATTGAATTGAGAATCAGATGGATTAAAATAATGCCCCATTTTAATGAAATAGGAGCCTTCTAGGTATAACAGGGAACTTCATCTATTGAAAACAAACATCTAAAGTTAGGAGATAAATTTTCTTTTCTCATTTCAAGTAATAAAATAAAACAACCAGATCATTGCTTATTTTGGTGTTTCTAATTATTGAGACATCTGGCAGTTTCTTTTTTTATTAGGATGATGTTGTAACTTTCTCTATAATGAAATTTAATTATGTACCATGGCAGTACATCCTAAAGGAGTGATATTGGAATTTTGATCAAATGACACTTAACATTTTGAACTATTGCTACCCTATGTATTTTAATATTTAATTCCAAAATAAATATGTATGCAATTTATTTAATGGAATAAAGCTATCATATTTCATTATTCCTTGGGAAATGACTCCATTGGTTAGCTTGGCAGCTCAATAACCGGTAAGTAGATTCTGATCTGTAGGAACATTTCATATCATACAGTGGGAACTATTGCTACCACCAGCAAGTTGGAAATCCATAAGAAGTGGACTTCTAATCACTGGTTGAATAAAACTACATCAATCATATTGTATTCTTTGCCAAAAAGGAAACTTTTCTTACTAATTAAAATAGTTTATTGTTTTAAAGTTACTTTTAAGAAAGAATCTGAACCTATTTTGAAGAAAATGACTAAAAATATACCTGGAATTTTTCATCATCTTTAGCAATTAGGAAAATGAAAATCTAAAACAAATCTGAAATTTCTTCTTACCTCTGTCATAATGGTAAACATGGAAAAAGCATGGAATATTTGACTACTAGGTATCTTGAAATATTCAATAATTAGTAGCTAAAACCAAGGGAAATGTATAAATTAAACATAAACCAAATAATTAAAAACTATAATCATTTGTTGAGGTTTAATGTAAAATCAAATGAGTCTAAGCACCATGGTTTTCCTTGAACCAGATGCAAGGCAATAAATAACTACTTTCATGATGACTCCTTTGAGAGATTAATATGTTAAATTACTTTCAGTATATCACAGGAAGAGAACATATTTTGTATTGCATATTCACATTTTGTTTTGGTTGTCTATATTTTAACTGTGCACTAAGTTATATGAAGAGAATTATTACACTATTTATTAGCATCATGCATTCATTCAGTATAGTGTAAAAAAATGTTCACAACAGGCTAACCGCATAAAATTTTGTACAATATGTACATTCTCATAGGCTGCTTTTTTGCATAAATTAATTCACTCATTATACAGTGTTGCATTAGTTAGTGTTCTATTGCTGTGAAGACAAACATTAGCCAAAACAACTTATAGAAGAAAATATTTAATTTGTGGAGTAGTGCATTTTAATGGTGGAGGGAAGGAGGATTGCCAGCAGGCAGGCCTAGTGCTGGAGAAGAAGCTGAGAGCTACGTTATGGTCAAGAGACAGAGTGGTTGTACCAGCTTGCAATCCCACCAGCAATGGAAGAGTCTTCCTCTTTCTCCACATCCTCGCCAGCATCTGCTATCCCCTGAGTTTTTGATCTTAGCCATTCTGACTGCTGTGAGGCTGAGTCTTGGGGTTTTGATTTGCATTTTCCTGATGACTAAGGATATTGAGCATTTCTTTAGATGCTTTTTGATCATTTGAGTTTCCTCAGTTGTGAATTCTTTGTTTAACTCTGTAACCTTTTTTTAAATAGGGTTATTTGATTGTCTAGAATCTAATTTCTTGAGTTCTTTATATATAGTGAATATCAGCCTTCTATCAGATGTAGGATTCATAAAGATCTTTTCCCAATCTGTTGGCTGCCATTTTGTCCTATTGACAGTGTCCTTTGCCTTACAGAAGCTTTGCAATTTTATAAGGTCCCATTTGTCAATTCTTGATCTTAGGGCATAAGGCATTAGTATTCTGTTCAGGAACTTTTCCCCTGTGCAAATGTGTTCGAGGCTTTTCCTCACTTTCTCTTCTATTAGTTCCAATGTATCTGGTTTTATGTGGAGGTCTTTGATCCACTTGGACTTGAGCTTTGTACAAGGAAATAAGAATGGATAAATTTGTATTCTTCTACATGCTGACCTCCAGGTGAACCAGCACCATTTGTTGAAAATGCTGTCGTTTTTCTACCGAATGGTTTTAACTACTTTGTCAAAGATCAAATGGCCATAGGTAAGTGGGTTCATTTGTGGGTCTTCAATTCTATTCCATTGATCTTCTTGCCAATCTCTGTACCAATACCATGCAGTTTTTATCACTACTGCTCTGTAGTACAGCTTAAGTTCACGGATGGTGATTCCTCCAGAAGATCTTTTATTGTTGAGAATAGTTTTCGCTATCCCGTTTTTGTTTTGTTTGTTTGTTTGTTTGCTTTTGGGTTTTTGTTAATTTTTCTTTTGAATTCTGTGAAGAATTGAATTGGAATTTTGTTGGGGACTGCATTGAATTTGTAGATTGCTTTTGGCAAGATGGCCATTTTTACTATATTAGTCCAGCCAATCCATGAGCATAGGAGATTTTTCCATCTTCTGAGATCTTTTTCAATTTTTTTCTTCAGAGTTTTGAAGTTCTTGCCATACAAATCTTTAAATCACTTCGTTAGATTCACACTACGGAATTTTTTATTATTTGTGACCATTGTAAAGGGTGTCCTTTGTCTAGTTTCTTTCTCAGCCTGTTTATCTTTTGAGTAAAGGAAGGCTACTGATTTGTTTGAGTTAATTTTATATCCAACTACTTTGCTTAAGTTGTTTATCAGGTTTAAGAGTTCTGTGGTTGAATTTTTGGGGTCACTTAAGTATACTATTATATCATCTGCAAATAGTGATATTTTGACTTCTTCCTTTCTAATTTGTATCCTTTTGACGTCCTTTTGTTGTCTAATTACTTTGACTAAGACTTCAAGTACTAGATTGAACAGGTAGGGAGAGAGTGGGCAGCCTTGTCTAGTCCCTGATTTTAGTGGGATTGATTCAAGTTTCTCTCCATTCAGTTTGATGTTGGCTACTGGTTTGCTGTATATTGCTTTTACTATGTGTAGGTGTGTGCCTTGAATTCCTGATTTTTGTAGTACTTTTACCATGAAGGGGTGTTGAATTGTGTCAAATGCTTTCTCAGCATCTAGTGAGATGATCATGTGGTTGCCTCAATGTAGGGGAATATGAAAGCAGGGATAGGAGAGTGGGTGAATGGATAGGGGCACACTCTCATAGAAGCAGTGAAAAGGGAGACAGGATAGAAAGTTCTTGGGACAGGGGAATGGGGAAAGGGGATAACATATGAAATGTCCATAAATAGAATATCCTATAAAAATACAGTTAAAAACTTTTCTTCTCATAATTTGTTTAAATTTAATTATAATGAATGAGTCTTCCTTCTTCCAACTTTTTATTAGGGATTTATTCACTTGGTATCTGTCAAATTTTGTTTTTTTATTAAGGTTCTTCTCTTTGATTAGAAGAAGTTCATTAGTTGGTGAGGTCTTTTGTATGTCATTTCTTCCACCACATATATTCCCTTCCAATTTTGTCTATTTAAACACTACTGCTAATAATAATACTAATAATATGAATAATGATATTAATAAGGCTGTGTGGTAATGGTTCATAGTTTCTCTGTGGTCTTTCTCATCTTCCCTAGTTTTCTATACTTTCTGAGAGACCAGTACCCTGCTCAATGTTCTGTGCTCTATACCTCAGTACTCAAGATATTCTTTCTAGATTTTCCTAGCAATAAAATTATTTCAAGATTTTCACCTGTTCTCTGGGTGAAGTAGAGAGGTATATTTATCTCTTTTTTAAAAGAATTCTATTACACATAAAATTCATGTAGGTAGATGTAACTTTATCATTTTTCTAAAAACATCTCTGATTCTCAATTTGTTTTTTCTGCCTATTTTCATTCCTTGTCTTCTTTGAGATCTTTCCCCGAGCCTGGAGGAAGAACTCTATCAAAGGGAATGAACTTTAGGTGGATTCCATAAGTTACTTATTCTCATGGTAGTCCTTCTCAGCCTTTAGTAGCTCATGAACAACCTTAATTGGCTTCTTATTAGCTTCTATGGTATTTCATGTCTCATATAAGTACGTGAGGACTCATATCCTAACCCTAGTTGAAGGAACTATATCTTTGTATATTTGGGGGTAATATTTTAATGGTTTGAATCATTGGTGGCATTATATGAAATGTAAGATTCACAGCTTTAGTGAGGTTAGTACATGACCCATGTCTAACAGCACATAGCTCTCATACAACCCAGTCCTGGTTGCCATTTCATTAGCCCCACTATCCTCCAGTACAACCTACTGCCTCCCATCGTAGCACATTTGTAATTTTTAAAAAGTGTCCACAAGAAGAGCTGAAGTCAAAATGAGTAATATTGCATCATAGGTCTTTTTTTCTCTTGGTAACAGTTTCATGTGTAGTGCTACCTTCAAGATAATATTTACCAACACAGGAAAACATGGAAATGATTGTGTAGTATGTATCAGCAATGCCTGTGTAGCAATAGCATTCTTCATTTCTTCTTATGGAAATGAGTTTCACCAGCTTTTGTTATTCAATAATATATTGCAATTTATGATGATGTAGTAAGTATCTGAAGATTTAACAGTGACTATCATAAATAGTATATAATTGCAATACCACATTCCATTGAATGATGACTGATTAGGAACAGATGTTGTCTGGTTAATTAATCCTCACAACTAGCAATAGATATTTTTAGGTCTAATGGATGTTAAAAAACATTTCTCAAGTCGAAGTTAAAAGTTTTTGCTTTTCTGATTACCCAGTACTTTTCCTCTGCTTTTCCACCCTTTTCTCTACTTTCTGAAGACTGATATCTTTCATATGAGCTAATTCTGTTCTCTTTGCATGTAGGATTTGATACCAGTATTTTGCCAATTTGCAAGGATTCACTTGGCTGGATGTTTAATAGACTTGATACAAACTACGACCTGCTATTGGACCAGTCAGAGCTTGGGAGCATATATCTTGATAAGAATGAGCAGTGCACCAAGGCGTTCTTCAATTCTTGTGACACTTACAAGGACAGTTTGATATCTAACAATGAATGGTGCTACTGCTTCCAGAGACAGCAAGGTAAAAGATGAGGCTTCTATGATGGAATTAGTTGGCCAGCATTTCAAATTTTATCTTTTCCCTCATAATAAAAAATATCAACACTACCCAATGCTTCACTCATTTTAGTACATTTTCTAATTTGAATGTTTAATGAAAGAGCAAATAGGCACTATATTGAACAAAATAATTGTGCCAAAGATACAAATATTCTAAATAAGATGGAAAGTAGTAATTAATATTTTATATTAATGTATTTCATTATAGTTCCCATTATGAACCAGCAAGCAGCACACAGAGATATGAGAACATAGATATTAAAAGTAATCATTGAAATTAATTTGCTATCTGCTTTGCCCACAGTGTAAAATAAATGGGGTTTTTATCACTATACTGTCGAGTTTTAATGTTCCATTTTGTGATCTTATTAAGTGAGTTGCATGAGCCATGGCATTCACTGTGAAGTTATTTTTACTCATTTTATTTTCAAAATTACTTAGTCTTTCAATCTTTCCAAAATAGTTTAGCTTGTTAAAAATTTGCTAGTGAGAGAGTATTCAAAAACTCTGCAAGAAATAAGACAAAGGAGAAAGCAATTGTGTTCATTGTACACCTTTTAAAATAAATTATACATTTTAATTAAAATAGAATCATATCACATATTTTTTCCTTTTCAACCCCTCTCAGATACTCCCTTCTACTGGCTCCAAATCAAATTGAGATAAAAAATGGACTTAAATTTAGGATCTTACTTATAGAATGAATGTTGTATATTAAATACATGCAGGAAAATGCATCTAAATATTTTCACATTATGTTCAGTAAGTGGAAAACTAAGGAACCATTGTTATCTTGGTGCTAATGGAATAAACTGGAAACAAGGTTGATATGGTACAGCTAGTATTGAAATTACTTTCCAAACTTGATGAAAGCATAGTGAATGGACAAGGTACAGCAATTATCATCTTAACTCATATAAAATTATAAAATTTGCTTTGCTAAGGCAATCATGTACATTTACTAATAGTTCAAAAATTGGGGAGAAAATAATTGCCTACACATTGACAAGGTGTGAATCAAACATGGGTTTAGCTTAGAGGAGGCCTTACCTATCAGTAAGTCACTTTACATAAAAAGAATTTGGGTGATTGGGGAAGTGGGGAGAATCTCAAAGGATCGAGGAACAGGGAAACCATAATCCAAAATATTTTCTTTAATAAAATATCTATTTTCAATGAAAAAAGCCAAAAAATGTAAAATTGAAATGCTTCCTTAAATGTTTTAAACTGCACATATTTATGAATACACATTACTGACTTGATTACATGTGCATTCTATGTAATGAGACACTCGGTCACATGACATTCTAGCCATTGAGAGCTAGTGTACTTTTATAAATAAGATAATAAATTCAAGTATATTATCAATAAAATGTGCCCATTCACATTTTTCTGTATTTTAACATTCGCCATTTTGGTTTTGTTGTTTGTTATATCTTTCATGTTTATTAGTGAACATTGAAATATATGAACACATTGAACATACATGTGTAATTTACAAAGCTGAGTTCATTGAGCCTGAGGGTGAGTGGTGGCTATGATGGCCCAAAAGTAGGGAAAGGCATATTTAGTATTGTATGAAGATATGTTTGATTTTAAATTAGTAAAAGTTTAGTTTGAAAGGTAAAAAAAAAAGTATTTTTAAAAGCACATTTAAACATGGCTAGGATTTCAGGTATATATAGACACTAATCTCCATATTTATGGAGTAAAAAATAAAAGAAATTTAATTTTCCTTTACAGCACATTAAAGAAGTCTTTTTAATAAAATTGGAAACTTGGCTAATGGTGTGGCAGTAAGATAATGAGACAAAGATTTGTGTGGGATATATCAGTGTATCTTGATGTATATTCCTTATTTTAAGGAAAAGTTAAACTGCATCAAATTAAAGATGAACTACCGTCAAGTAGTTAGTTAGTTTCTAAGAACAAATTCCTCTTTTTCACTTTTTACTTCTTTGATAGGATATTTTTCGCCTCACATACTGACCTAGAACATATACAGCTTATGCACCTTATTTTTTTCTTTCTGCTATGCCTTTTAATAATTAAATTATTCTGAAATTGTCATAGTAAAAAATTTTAAATTATTTGAATTGTATTGCATATTCCTCCTTGTTCCTGGGACCATGCAGTGAAGAAGCATAAGAATTGTTTTGTTATTTTAGTGTTTTTGACAGCTATAATACTTTTCTGTCTCTATCTCAAACATAAAAATTGTTCATTTTTTTTCTGATGACATTTGTTTAACCTTTGAACAAGTATTTTAATGTTAAATTTCAATAATACATATTCCATTATACCTATATAGAATATTCAAATTTTGTACAAATGTGTTTATTTAAATCACTGATTGTAAAAACAATACACATACAATATACTTACAAATTGGCTTTAGTACTGTAGGTATTTTTGAAACGTGACTTTAAAAAATTTATATTATATTCTTTGTTAAAACTTATATATTTGAAGACTTTATGGAAACTAGAAAGACCAATATAGTAACATTTTACAATAAAATAATGGATAAATGTTCAATATTACTGGAGACAAGCAGTATTTTTCTCATATAATGTTTTGTGGTGAATTTTTTTTTACTATCTTATGACTTATGTTAAATTAGAGGGAAATGAGTTAGTTCCTTGATCAGCAATCAACTGGATTTATATGGCAGATATTTTAAATGTAGAAAAAAGGAAGTATATTCCATCATTATCAAATTTCAGTTTTTCATCAAATTTTGATCATTCCAAGAGATATCAGAAAGAACTACTATAACTAGAACTTGCTAAATTGTTATACTCTGTCGTGTATCTGTAAGTATATATTTCTGTGAATGTCTATCATGGTATATCTACACATGTGTATCCACATGAAACCATTACAACAGATAGCTAGCATGAATCTTACTGTGATGAAAAGCCTTGCTTGAGGCTCATAGCTTACAGGTACACTGTTTCCTTTACAACATCCTTGAAGTACTGTATTTAATGTCCTTGCAGATCCACCTTGCCACACTGAGCTCAGCAACATTCAGAAGCGACAAGGGATAAAGAAACTCCTCGGTGAGTCACAGCTCATTCTTCTGAAAGTTTTATTGCTTATATAAATAACCCCAGGGAAACAGCAACATAAAATCAATATTAATCCAACAAAGACAGACTGCATGAAAGTTCATCAGCAAAATTTATGAACTTTTGGAAAGACATTGAACTTACTTTTATTACCTTACCAATTGAAAAATATAATGCCTATTTTACTGCTCTAATATCTTGTTCATATTTGAAAGTTTTTAAGTACAAAAGAGATTTAGCAATACTAAATTTAAGAATTAGCAGAAGTGTCTGGTTTTGCACTTAAGCATTTAAGAATTGATGTGACTACCTATATGAAATTTAATCAACTGATTGCATACATGTGGCAAAAGTATTCTAACAGATAAATATGAGCCGGATTTTTGTGGTTTTCATTAGTATGTTTTCAAATGTAGCTTTTAGTAATTAAATATTGATACACATGATAAACAGATAGGTAGATAGATGATAAAAAAATAAATTTCATACATTATAGTCCATGTTTCATATATTATATGCCATATATCAACATTTCTTTATTAATATATGTATAACAATAGTTATAATTGATATTAGTACATTTTTTACATATCAATATATTCCAAATATATATCAACATTTCAGAAATTATATTCCAGATATAGTTTCCTCTACTCTTTCCAGTCCCCCAGTCCACTTCCCCTCTCCCCGAGATCCACTTTTTCTCTTTTTCCCATTAAAAAATAGGAGCAGATTTCCCAGTGATGTCAACCTAACATGGCATAACAAATTACAAAAAAAAAAAAAAAAAAAACAACTAGGCACAAATCCTCATATGAATGAAAACTGGACTAAGCAACCGAATATACGGAAAAGGGTCCTAAGCATAGCCGAAAGAGTCAGAGATGTGCTCCAGCTCCACTCTTAGGAGTCTTACAAGAACACCAAACTATAGAACCAAAATGTATATGCAAAGGATATAGTTCAAATTCATACAGGGTCCATGATTGTCTCTTCAGTATCTGAGAGCTCCTATGCGCCCTGCTTAGTTGATTCTGTGTGCCATATCGTGGTGTCCTCTACCTCTCTGGCTCCTGTCCCCCTTCCTCCCCACCCTTCTGCACAGTTATCCTGGCTCTGCCTAGTATATGGCTGTGAGTCTCGCATTTGTTTCCATCAGTCATCAGATCATGACCCTCTGATGACAATTTGGCTAAGCACTAATCTATAAGTATAGAAGAATATCATTAGGAATAATTCCACTGACATTTTTTTCTCTAGTAATGTTTCTATTCTGGGTCTCTAGGCTGCCCAGCCTTAGAATCACGGCCATCTAGGATAGTCCATGTGTGGGCTAACTCTCATGGTGTGGGTCTCAAGTTGGACCAGGGATTGGTTGAACACACATACAAGCCTTTGCCACCATTACCCTGGAAAAACTAGAAGGTAGAACAGATTCATTATATGTCAAACTTCTGTGGCTAGCTGAATGTCTCTGTCCCAGTGCTACTGCTGGGATCCTTGCTGAAGTATGGAAGATGGCTGGTAGGGGCTACATATCCATCCTTACTAGGAAACATCACTAGGGCCACTCTAGTAGAATCCTGGGAGTTTTCACTGTACTAGGTTTCTACAAAAAGTCCCGAAATTCTAATCATCTTTCCATGTATTCTCTCTGTGTCAAAATTCAGTAGTTTTAAATTGGAATATTTTTCATATTGTTAAAGAGCTCTTAGCCCAGGGCTCATCTTTCAAAGTAATTTATCATAAAATATTTTATGTGAAAAACTGATGATTATAATAAATAGTGTGGAAATTTCCTTCTTAAATTGTGACCAATTCTTGTAATGATATAAATCATTGGTGGAAATAATATACTGATGCGTGAGCATGTTTGAGTAACCCAAAGTTGTACATAGTACCATGAGGAAACTATTATCTTCAAATAAATATTTTAGTGTTGATGAAGGTCCAGTCATACTGAAACCAATTTTTTCTTATTTGAACTTATTCTAAAAATCACATTTAATTACCATGTGGCAAGAGCATCCTTACTCTTCTTTTATAATATAAATATAGATATTATAACACTGGATATCCTAAGTGTTCTTTCTGATGAGGGTACAATAATGATACATAGTTTGGCCAGCTGCTCTGTCAGGGTAAAGAGTCATGTATCCCAATGTAACAAATCAATTTGCGCTCATATCTGCAGTAGAACTGCTGTGATTAATAGCGTTCCCTTTTAAATGTGCTGCCATAAGAAGTGACAGTAACATATATTTTCAAACAATAATAATTTAAATATTTAAATACTACAAAGATTTTTTTA